AGAGAATCCATAAAGTGATCCAGTCCGCTCATTGCATGGTGTGACTTTGGTTGTGATATAAATATTGATTTTGTTTTCATTATCAACAAAAATGTTTTTATTTTGATTAAGACCAAGTTATAAATTTTGGATGTAGTAACAACCATCCTTATGAAGCAATCTTTCAATTCTTTCAACCTATCTGTTAGTAACCTGTGCCTCGATCTTCTTTCCTCAAGTGCACAAAAACACCATTTTATATATTGTTATATGTGATTAGAATGAAATTGTAAGAAAATTTATAAATAAAAAAATTGTTATTACATGTTCATCAATGAGAATCATATCAATTTTGTAAGTCTTTGTTGAAGATCCATAAGCAAGATATTTCATGAGATAGATTATTCTTACGTTCATTGTAAATTGACTTTTTGAAACATTAAGTTGGTTTATTGAGGTAATGTTGCTTTGCGTCATGTTTCTGTTTGTGAAAAAACTAATGATTGTTAAACATATGTGACTTAACCAAGTTATATAGATAAAGTAAATTAGGCAAAATATGAACAATTCAAAATCATAGGATAAAAGTGAAAAATATAGTTTTAGGGACAGAATTTGTAACTTTTGACATAACTCAAGGATGTTGAATGTAATTTAGTCTAAAATATATAATGTAGAAAGTATTTTGTATGAAATCAAAATCAAAATTATAAAAATAAAATAAAATTATTAGTCTAAAATATGAATGATGTTATATACTTTTAAAAACACTCATAATGCAAACCCGACAATAAAGTAAGTATAAATAGTTTTTGTTGATGCTCATCAGAAAATGTATCAAGAAGTATATACCATTACTCGTTTAGTATGACACTATTTAGATCTAAGTATTTTTATTAGAATATATGTTCACAAAAACAACTTAAAACAACAATGTACTTTCAAAGTATATTGCTGTATTTTGTAGAATAATTTTTTTTAAATGGACAGTCATATATAGTAATATAAATTATTTTTTAAACCAATTTTCTATCTAATAAAAAGTTTGTATTTACATATAAGTTATCAAAAAATTCATAGATTGGTAGTTTTGACTTATATACCTAAAAAAACTTACTATGTAGTTTTGACTTTTTTATATGTTTACAAACACATATTAAAACAACAATGTACTTTCAAAATACATTGTTGTAATTAATATAATATTTTTAAAAAAAATACACAACAATATATAACCATATAATATTATTTTTTATGTTTATATAGATAGCAGAATTTAACATCCAAAATGACCATATTATGCCTATATATTATCATATTCACAATTTCAATGCACACTATAATTGAATAGTTGGGTACGTATGATTCTTGATTACACTTTTTCTTTTGTTTCTCTCCAAATCATGTTCTAAGCAATATGGAAACCCCCAAAACGTCCATCACACTTTCCAAGGCACAAATGATATATATATATATATATATATATATATATATATATATAATATATATATATATATATATATATATATATATATATATATATATATATATATATATATATATATATATATATATATGTATCTTGATTTAATAACAAAGCCCAAGCCCAAAAACCAAACAAAACAATATTAAATCTAACCAAAATCACATATGCTTTTGGTCCAAACAACACCAAAACATATTGTTTTTTATCGTAACCCAAGAACTCTAATAGCTTATGAAAAACAAAGTATAAACAATAATTTATAACTTAACAACCATCTTACTCATTGTTGCTGCGCTCAACGTCATATCGTCACAGACTACAAATTATAATTTTAGAATTTTGTTTTAGCCGCTTTTGTTTATATAAAACTTACATTTTATAATTTTTAACTTTAAGTTACTACTACAAATTATCATTTAAATAAAATAAGACACTATCGATATGTTATATTGAAACCTTTTATAACGAAACCATATCTAGCCTTAAATAGATCATAAAAATATACAAATTTAATATATTTGTGAATCTTAACCGTTAAGTTTATAAAAAACAACAATTTTTTCAACAAATCACTTTTTTTTATACGAGCGTCTTAACCTATTAATAATAAAAATCAAATTGGTTTTTTTAATATATATATATTTTTAATGTGTATACATCCACAAAAGATATAAAAAAGATTACTTTTCAGTAAACCTTCTAAACGTAAATATTATGATATTTTATTTGAAAAAAAAAAACAATCGAGAAAAAAAATTCTTGATGTATATTTGAGTTTCACAAATTGAATCTAAAGTTTAAAATAAAATTTAAAAATTAAGGGTGTGTTTTGTAAATAATAAATATATCGTTATTTTATTATAGTAATTAGAAAAAAGAAAAATAAAATAAAATAAAGTAACCATGATTGCTTGGTGTCCGATTATGTTAAAAAAATTGTAGATCAATGGGTGCCTTTAACAACACCCGATTAAATCCTAATTGTGTTTGATAACTATTTTGGAAAGATACAAACAATTTGATTTAAAGGTGGAAACCAAAAAATATAGGATTGAAATACAATTAAATGTCATGATTGTTTTGAATTAAAAATTTATTTTTAATAATATTTAGAGATAGTAATCCATGCTACTCTTGCTGTGTTAAGGTTTAAGATGATGATCAATAGGGTGGGTTAGTTTTAGAATTCTCTGATGAATATTTGTAATGTTTTTTTTTTTTTTTTTTTTTTTTTTGTTCTTTACCAGATTGTCTTTGCTTCTTTATAGCTTTTTGACAAAATTGCAAAAATGGTCCTTGTCAAAATTCTATGATTATGGTCCAACAAAGTTTGGTGGTGCATTAGTGGTCCGATTTTGGATACCTTGTGTGTTTTTGGTCCTTATAGTTGATATTTTTGTGCGGTTTTGGTCCATTGTCTACCTGAAATGACAAAAATACCCTTAACTGATTCTTTTTTGTTTTCTTTTAATTGTATTATTACTATATAATTAAAAATAAATATAAAATAAAATTTCATCACTCTTAAAGACAATAAATCTCTCTCTCTCTCTCTTTCTCTCTCTCTCTCTCTCTCTCTCTCTCTCTTCATTGTGTTGGAGACTGGACCACCATCTTTATTGAACCACCACCACCTGTTAGTCTTCCACCGCCACCGTCACTTACCCAAACGACCTAGCGTCCCTTCCAGAAAAATGAGATATGTAATTGAAAGTCAGAAAAATGGGATATGATGTTGTCGTAGAAGATGATGGAGCTCGACGAAGCTTTTGAGTTTTCAGTCGTTGTTCTTCATCTTTCAGTGATGAGGGCTTTCTGCCACCACCACCACATTTTTCAGCTTCTGCAAATCTCCTTCTGCCGCCACCATTCTCATTTTCTGAAACCCTAACGTTGTTGCCCTTGGATAAGGGTTTTGGTTCGAGATCCATTTAGGGTTCTCTATAAGGATGTGATGGTACCTGGTGGGGATAGTCATCGACAGAGATGTCCGACAACCTAACGTCGCCGATCTGTTCTTTAGAACTGTTGATTTGATCGATTTAGACTGGTATGGGATGCAAACCCAGGTCTTGGTAAATGGTGAGAAGATGGTAGAGCTCGAGGAATAGTGGTGGTAGAGGGTCATCAGGATAAGGAAAGAGAGGTGCGTAAATGTGGTGGGATGGAGGTGGTTGGCAGTGAATGGTGGTGACGAATGACATTGGGGTGGGGTTTAATTTTTGGGCTTGAGCACCCCTTGCACTAATTTGGGCACTGAGTATGTTTATGATCACTTTGTTTAGATCTAAGCAAGAAAGGGAGTTGTTAATGGTGGTTTTCAGCTTTCTTAGTGGTTTCCGGCGAGGCAGTGCGAGAAAGGACGATATGGGTGGGGTGGATTACGACAAATAGTGGTGGTGAACGATGGTATGGTGGCCGTTGGTGAACTTTTACTTATTTAATGATTGAGAGATGGGGGTACGGGTGATGAAAATGGAGGTGGTTGGCGGCAGATGGTGGTGGTTGGCATCCATTAAGGGTGACATTTCTAGTGAGTGTGTGTGTATGTTTCTGTTGAGATAGACGGAAGAGAAAAAGGGTGGGTAGGTCATTTTTATTTTTTTGTAAGTTAAAAAAATATAAGTTAAATAATTTTTATATTTCAACAATTAAAGAAAATGAAAAATAGAAATTACAAGGGCATAATCGTCTTTTTAAGTTACAGGGACCAAAAACAATAGAAAAATCAAATTTTGAACCAGTGGTGCACTAACATTTTGTTTTGGACCAAAAACACATAAAATTACAAATCAGAGGACCATTTTTGCAATTTGGTCTAGCTTTTTTAGTTAAGGATAATTTCTTACGTTCTAAAAAGTAGCGACGGTTTTGAAATTAGTAGTGTATCACAATTTCCAAGGTGGTGCATGGACACCGCTTGATAGTGGGTCTCATTCCAAATTTATTAAAATAACCCCTAAAAATCCCTCTATTGCTGAAACATCCCCTTTTGGTACCTTTTTTGCATATTATTTTTGTGAAAAGTATCCTCCAATCTCCATTAACCCGTTTATAAAATAAATAGAGTAAATTATATGAATGGTCCTATGGTTTGGGGTAATTTACATGTTTGGTCCCTAACTTACTTTTTTAACTCGGAAGGTCTTTACTGTTTGTTTTTGTTACATGTTTGGTCCCTTCTATTTGTTTTTGTTACGCGTTTGGTCCTTGTTTTATCTAAAAAGACTATTATTTGATTAGAGAAAGATGATGAGATAGGTAGGGTAAGGTGAGTGGAGTGGGGTTGGGAGTGTGTTTATTTAAATAAATTAAAAAATCAAGAGCAAAATAGTCTTTTTAGGTAAGAAAGGAACCAAACATGTAACAAAAACAAACAATAGGGACCTTCCGAGTTAAAAAAATAAGTTAGGAACCAAACTTGCAAATTACCCTAAACCATAGGGACCTTTCGTGTAATTTACTCAAATAAATAACGTCTCGACTCATCACGCAACCAAACAAGCAGTAAGTCGAACAATTTTACTTATTGTATTTTAGTTTTGTACCCATGTATTGAATGAACTCACCCCTATCATATTTACACACACTAAAAATCCTTCCAATATAACTCTCTCCACATTAACAAGCATTAACGATTAATCTAACCCAAAAACAAACCAACAAGAATCCAGATAACCAAAAACCAGAAAATGAACTCATCCTTGCTATCTGCTGCTTCCAGATCATAATCACAAGAACCTATGCGGGTCTGAAGGGAAAGAAAGAAAGATCAATGTACTAATTTGAAGTAAAAAAAATAAAATAAAATAAAAGAAAGATTTTCTTTTTAATTTTTTCTACCACAAAATTCATGATTGCATCCGCAAAGTATAGACTCGGCAAGTTCCTCGTTAAGCTTCACATTTAGTGGTGGCATCTGATTCATTACCTCTGGCATGTACTTTAACCTGCCATTATATATAATTTTTTTTGATTTTTTAATTTAAAAAAAAAAAATAGGGAACAAACGATATATAACAACGATATCTCATATCTCATATCTGCATACAACACTTATAGGAAGGAAAAAAAACGAAACATGACAGCTGTTATATGAATGTTTCTTTGTTAAGTCCTGACTATTTACAAATTTGCCCTATTTACTTTTCTCTTCCATTTCCCAAGTGTGCCATCATTTTTTCAAAGATATTTGACTAATTTACATTTTTGGTCGATAAGTACAGATGATTTTTTTTGGTCCCAATGTGATTTCTCTTTGCAAGTTTGGTCCTTATTCAAGGTTTTTGTGACATTTTTGGCCCAAGTTCCAAGTAGCATGACTAATTTTGGTCTCTAATTAAGTAAAGTTGATTTTTGCAATTTCGGTCCTAAAAATAGTCATATTACTCGGAACAGAGACCAAAAATGTTACTAAATAAAAACCAAAATTACAAGAGAAACCCTTTTGGGGCCAAAATTGCAAAAAATGATTATACTCGGGTACCAAAAATGTAATTTAGTCTATACTTTTTTTAACAGTGGAAAAAGTAACAGTGCATATATGGAACAGAGAGCTTATGACTTACTCAGTCAAGAGTTTCTCGAGGTTGTTTCTTGTTTGGCAAAGAAGATTGATGTTCTCATGTAACTGCAACATAAAAAAAACTCAACCATATTAAATATAGACATATATGCCCTTAAAAAGCTTTAAGGAGTCCAAGTTTGACTTTTGTGTTGACTCGTATTCCAATCCAATACATATGTATATGAACCTTTTTACATTCTAAAAGCAAAAGCTTTAACCCTATGATAAGGCCTTAAACTTTGTCATGACTTTGGTTCTAAGTTTAAAAAAAAAATTTACAAATTTACCTTCAGAGCAGATAAATTTGCAGAAATTTGATCCAAAGCCTTGTCATTCTGTTCAAGAAGCCTCCCTATCTCACCACCAATAACTGCAAGCAACAGTTAAAGTTGTTAAGAGTGAAAATCCAAAATCCAAAAGCAGCATCAAAGACATAATTGTTAAGATTCTTCATTGATAAATTGTCTGTCCTAACATTGTACTCTTTTTTTACAGATAAAATCCACCAAGAAGCAGAAAATTAAATCATGTTTATATAATTATGAACACGATAAAGACAACAAATAACCATTGTAATTGATGCCATCATCATTGTTTATGGAGGATGATGATGATGGAAGACCATTGGCATGATTTGCAGCATGAGAAGATGGCTTCACTTGTTGTTCTGTATATTTTTCCTGGACATGAAAAAACAGAAGGAACATGAACAATTATGTCTAAGAAAATTATTTATATAAAAAACCATTTTTTTTCTAAGGCTCAAACAAGATTTCTTGCATCTATACTTTAATGTTTTCAGTTTTCACACACCAAAACGAAGTAGAATTTTTGCATTTGGCATAGACAAATAAAGCATATACCCTTTTAGTATTCCGCTTCCTTGATAAACTCTCCTCGGCTTTCCTTCTCTTGCCAATTTCCTTTTTCTGGAAAGATACAAAAATCAGACCCTACATAATTAGATATAGTGATATACTACTACCCATTGGTTTATTGTTATTTTAATATAAGCAAGTTGTAATACCAATAGAGAATTATATATCAATTAAAAACTAATATACACAACATAAATCATATACAAAATGATAAATGCATATTTAAAAAAAGGTAGAGATCATACAGTCATCCATTGACAACGATAGGCCACATCCCGGAATGTTTTGTCGTGCAATTCCTTTGAAATTTTTCCATAACGCAAGTCTCTACGATCTGAGGCATATCTGCATAAAAGATCATATTAATTATTGCATATCTGCCTATTATTCTTGCAAACACAATTGACTGAAAATCACAATAAGATTGGAAAATCAAACCAATAATAAGATAAATGTAAAATTATACTAATTATTTGATTCCGATTACAAATAAAAACATCATGCTCACAGATTATAAGGAAAAAAAAACCATCAATACCCGACTAAAAACCCTAATTGATAACCATATCAAACACTGCAACAAGAAGAACAAGAACGAACTGTATACAATTATCAATTTAGGGTTGTAAATGAAGTCAGACAAACAACAAGGTTTGTTCATGTTCGTTTGTATATTATTATTGCACAGATTTCCAAGATTTCACAACAAATAGTAAAAGATTAACTTACTTGACGAGTAGTTCTTCCAACAAGGACTGTTCCTTACGAGTCCAGTCCGTTGAGATTACAATGTTGTGCAGCAACCCACGCTCAGAAGAAAACACCGCGGAATTCTCCCGCACGGCTGCACGGCCGCCGTTGCTAACGTTATTAATGGTGGTGGCAGCGCCATTTGCGTTGCTTGTTGAACCGTTCTTACTTACAGCAGGGTTTGCAGTCGCCGCCATCAATCAAGAAACGCAATCTTTTTTAATTGATATCAAACGATCAGAAGATTGTTGGTTTGTTTTCTTGGGAGCTTAAACAATTCGCAGTTGAGAAAAAGTAGATAACTAGAATGGAAAGAAATCTGGGTTCGATTTGTTTATTGGGATGCAGAATCAAAGAGGCGAAATGGGGACGACCAAAATAAAAACCTTGAGATGAAATTAGGAAATGATACTGGGAAAGAAATTTGCTGAAATTTATGCATACAGAGCAAAAGTTTGCGGACGGTGGCGGGGGAATTTATTGTTTTCATTTTCTTTATATAATATTGTTGACTGATAATTTAAAGACAAAATTTCATAAATGGTCCTTCTTGTTTTCATTTTGTCTCTATATTTTCTATGAAATGTTTTTCCCTTAAATGCTCCTTACGGAACAAATATTGCTCACAAATAGTCCTTATGGTGGATGTTCGTTTGAGTGCACTTAGGGGTGCAAACGAGTCAAGCTACTCGTGAACTACTCGAGATCGGATGGTTAAAAACTCGAGTCGAAACCGATTTTTAACGAGTCCGAGCCGAGCTTGAGCTTAATATTAAGCTCATTTATTGAGCTCCGATGTCATTAAGCTCGATTAGGCTCGCAAGCCTAAACGAGCTTTTTTATAATAAAATTTATTATTATCTATATATATTTAAATAAAAACATATTAGTGGAATTATGGATTTAGGGTGTTGGTAAACGAGCTTCTTAACGAGCTCGAGCCTAGCTTACGCTTATTTAGGCACATCAGATAAAAAAATGAGTCGAGTCCGAGCCTGAGCCGAGCTTATATAATTCTTTACGAGCTTGATCCGAGCTCAATACAAGAAGGCTCGAATCTAGCCGAGCTCGAGCTCGAGCTTCATATAAATTAAACAAGCCCGAGCCGAGGCTGGCCATGCTCGGGCTCGGCTTGGCTCGTTTACACCCCTAAGTGCATTGTTAACATGCCCCATGTGCCTTGCATATGAGGGCATTTTCGTCATTTCTCTCCTTTATCGCCACTTATAGTATCTTTGTTGAGTCATTTCATGAACACACATTCAACAATTCCCCAAAATCAATCTTGATTTATGTTAATACTCGAACAAGATATGTTTACAATGATTTCATTGAAATTTTTGTTTGAATAGTGTCTAAGGCTGCAACTATATTAGGCAAGTACTTGACCCGGTTGTGCATTGTCCTTTTGGGTTGCCTTCACCAAAGCAACTTGACTGGAGAAATAAATAGAGAAAGAGGTTATTATGATTTATTAATATGTTATAAGAATAATATATTAAAGGAGAAATCATATTTGTTTAATTAATATTGGTCAATAATTAATTAGGAATTAATTTTGTGATCAAGTGTAATTAATTAAACTAGAGGGGCTGAATTGTAATTATGTGATAGTTGCAAAATAGGGCAATGGTTATCCTTGTTTAAGGATGGACGAATTCAAGGATAAGGATATCCTTAAAATCATCCAAGGTCCAAGAGATAAGGGTTTTCAAGGCTTATCTTGTGGTTGCTTGGTGGGCAAGTAACTGGATAAGGATAAGGACTGAAACCCTAATCTAAACCCTATATAAAGACCCCTAGGCCTTGGGAATTCGTGTACATGCTTCTAAGAAGTCCCAAGGACGATTTCCACCTCCTCCCTTATCTCTTTATAGCCTCTCCAATTGCTTGTGGTGTTTGTGAGCCATTAGAGGCACTACACTTGTGGTGCTTGCTTTCAAGACTTAGGGTTTGAAGATTTAAGTTGTTATTGCAATATAACAACAAGAGGTATGTAATCTAACCTTGTATATTAATTTCGAAAATAACATTGTTCTTAGGGTTTTATTCTTGTGTTCATAATGTTGTGTATCTAATAGCAAAACATAGATCCAAATTAGGGTTGCATGCACACATAGGATTGTTTGTATAAAACCCATCAGTGGTATCAAAGCCTTTGGTCAACTTGTTTTCAATTAGTATTATTCAATTGTATGAACTTGACAAATTAGGGTTTATAGCCAATAAACCTTAGCAGGCCATAGATTTCGAGATTAGGGTTTCCTAACCCTAATTTGCGAAAATCTTGAAAGGGTTTTTGAATCCTTTCCTTTTAATCCAAGATTTCGAAATCTAGGGTTTGCAAACCCTTAGATTTCGAGATTTGCCTCCTTCCCCAAGATAAGATCCTAAATTTTAGGGATTTGGATAATCCCATATCTTGTAATTATCTTTTAATGGTTAAATATGGTAATTAAAGATTTTGAATTATCCCATCCCATTATTTTCGAAATTTAGAGGGATAAAAGGGATTAGGATAAGTTAATTGTTTAAATGGTAATTATCCTCATGATTTAGATAATCCCTTATGATTTAATAATTTAAATTAATAGTTTAATTTGTGATAATTATTAAATCAAGAGTTTTAATATTTAAAATTTTAATTTAAATGTATTAAATTTCGAAAATTTTAAATTGGAGATTAAAAACCTAGTATTTTTGAAATGTTTAAAATACACTCTATACTATTATATTATTACAAGTTTAATAAATATATATATGTATAATTAATATGCTAGTCTTACCGTCAGTAGGCCTCATTCACAAAGTCGGTCTATAAGGTGGGTATAAAGTTGATGCCTATAAAATGGCGCTTAATGGGTGTACACTCACACCCACTGCTTGTTTGATCGGTGGAGGGTCATTAGCTGAATGGGTAGGATATGGAAACCTCATCCTCTCATTAAAAGTATAATATGAAATACAAAGTAACTACATGTTTTTCAAAATTTTCCCAATCCTAGTTACTTTAGGAAAAGTGAATTGATGCAATCCCATGAAATTACACTTTGCACCTTGCTAAGAAGTTAGTTGAGCGTGTGTGGTTTACCGGCACACTAATTGGTTCTAAGCGAAGGTGGCAAAGGGTGATTCATTGTTTATCATAGTTCGATGGAGCGTGTGTGGTTTACCGGCACATCGAATAGGTGATCGTTACAATGAAGGCACCATGTGAATTTGCATGGTAATTCACACCCGCTTTGTGATCCTCGGTATCCCAATCACAAACGAGAGGGGCATATTGAGATTTAAACATGCCATTGAAAAGTTTCAATGAATCTCATCCGAACCTAGGAATTCTCAATACATTTAGAACTTAGAGTTATGTTTTTCATGGTGGAGAATTAGTGAATCGTCATTCACTTACTTTCAAATTGTTTGCATGTTGGATTACGGCATCCCTTTTCTAATGTGTAAATATTGTTGTTGGATCCTAGCCCTAATTTTTCTTGTTGGGTGATAATTAGGGATTCATATTCTAATCTATCTTTATCCTTGTAGATGCCGAACGCAAACAACGCTGCTGCTAGCTCGTTCACATTGATGAGCCTTTGCCAAAAGGTGACTTTCGATGGAACGAACTTTAGTGAATGGATAAGATACATTCGCACGATCGCTTGCTAGAGGACAAGGAGTATGTCCTCGATGAGAAGCTCGAGAAAATCAATCCTGAAATCGCTACTCCGGCTGAAATCACCGCTTTTGAAACTCATGAGCGTGATGCAACGAAGGTTCATTGCATCATGATAGCCACTATGAACTCCGAATTCCAAAATTCCTACGAGGACATGTATCCATACGAAATGCACCAAGATTTTTTGGAGAGATACCACCAAAATGCGAGGCAAGAGCGTTACGAGATTTTCACTAACATGATTTCCGCCAAACTGGGTCATGGAGAATATCTTACCGTGCACCTGTAAAAGATGCAAAGGTATGTCGATCGACTTCGCAAGTTAAATGTTGACATTGGGGAAGACTTGGCGATCGACATGGTGCTTCACTCTTTGCCGCCATGTTACAATCAATTTAGGATGACCTACCACATGAATAAGGAAGAGGTCACCCTAAGCAATCTCCAAGGTCTCCTTAGGGTTGCTGAGAGCAATCTCAAGGACAAGTCCGTTGCACCTACTCCCAATCCACCTGCTGCTCCTGTTTTGGCCATTGGGCAAGGAAGAGGCAAGAAGAGGAAGGCTCCATCTAAGAGCTACTGCAAGGGAAAGTCCTGAGATGGTTCCTCATCTAGTGGGACAAAAGTTGATCCCACCAAGCCTACTTCTAACCCAAAGGAGGCAGAGTGCCACCATTTCCACAAAATAGGGCATTGGAAGAGAAGTTGCCCAGAGTACCTGTAAGCCATCAAGGAAGGAAGATCAAGCCGTCTTTCGCAGGTATATACACAATTAAATCTAACGATTCATCTCATGCTATTTCTTGGGTTCTTGATACCGATTGTGGTTACCACATTTGTTCTAATGTGCAGGGACTAAGAAGAAATAGGGATGTGGAGCATGGAAGGATAAATCTAATCATGGGGAACAGAAGATCGTCGCCTGTGACCAAGATTGGAGTGTATTCTTTAGTGCTTAGGAATGGTTTATGTTTAGATTTGAAAATTTTTTGTTATTCGCCAGAAATGGCTAGAAACATCATTTCATTTCTTGGTTTGTTTAGACAAGTTTTTAGATTTTCTTTTAATAATGAGAATGATTCTATTTTGGCTTATCTAAATGGTGTCTTTTATTTTGAAGCAATATCGTGTAATGGAATTTATGAAACTGTTATGATTGTTGACAACTTAGGAAATTATGTTTTATGCATGGATTCTTCCAATAGTATGGATAAGGCATCCTTGTGGCATTGTCGTCTTGGACATGTCAACAAGAAACGCATAGCCCAACTCCAAAAGGATGGAGTGTTGGAGTCATTCGACCTTAGGGAAGATGACACATGCGAGTCTTGTTTACTTGGAAATATGACTAAGTCACCTTTCACAGGTACGTGTGAAAGGGGTGAGGGTCTATTGGACTTAATACATACCGATGTATGTGGACCGTTTAGATCAACCACGAAGGATGGGAACCGCTTCTACGTGACTTTTACCGATGACTATAGTAGATATGGGTATATCTACTTAATCAAGCAAAAGTCAGAAACTTTTGAAAAGTTCAAAGAATTCAAGAATGAAGTGGAGAATCAATTGGGCAGGAAAATCAAGATGCTTCGATCCGATCGAGGAGGAGAGTACCTAAGTCTTGAATTCCACGATTATCTCAAGGAGTGTGGAATAGTTTTACAATTGACGCCACCTAGGACACCGCAGTTGAATGGTGTGGCAGAAAGGCATAATCGAACCTTGATGGACATGGTTCGCTCTATGATGAGTCATGCTTCGCTATCTATCTCTTTTTGG